AAAGAAAAAACAGCACAAAGTTAGCATCTTACATAACATATTGCTGCTAGCTCTTGTCGCAGCGTATCCGTTTCTTTAATGAATGGTTTCCTTTCTGGATTCTCGCCATTATCATACACGGTGAATTTAGTCCCCAAGACATTTGATCTGAGGAGACAAATTACACATTTTAGCATGGGCAGAATTGCAAACAATATTTGTGATAATGCACTGTAATAGTACTGACCTTAGTTTGCCTATGTAGCTCTCAGTATCTCTGGATAAATCGGTAGGATCGATTGATATCAAATAATTCGAGGTTTTGCACTTCTTTCTTTTCCTGCCAGCCATCAGAAAGACCTGCCCATTCGAAACATTGGGCAAGAGAACAATGATATGTTAAGCAATGAAAAAGACATTATTTCTCATATTTTTCTCATTATTATTCACACTTCTGCTAACCCTTTTCCCATCCTCCTTTTCCATATGGAGGTAATATGTGGGAAAGATGCCTTTCTCCACTCCCCTCCTGTCTCTGGTGATCCTGCACTGAATAGTCACACCTCTTGGAGCAGGACGCATGGCAAACTGTTCCAGATCCTCCAAAGACATCGGAGAGGTCTGGACAAGAAAGAAAAAAGATCAGGGTTATTGTATTAACTTCAACTAAACCTAAAACCATAAAAAAAATGTCATTTTCTTTGCTTGAAATAATAAAATCAAATAAAATCAAATACAAAAAAATTAACTTTTAGTTTAAGTTCAAGTACTAAATAACTAAATCTAAATAAACTAAGAACTAAACCTATAGAGACATGTTTAACTCATAAAAAGGGCAAAACAAAATTACTTATTAGCTTTCAAATTAAAATGGAAAATTAAACTGTATACATAATATATGCACACACACACACACACACACACACACACACACACACACACTGTATATAACACTAAACAAATGAATTTAGACTACATCTTACTTTTCCCATGTCCAAAGAATCACTATCAGAGGAAGGCTCCTTATAGTCGGAGTTTAAAGAAGCAATACTGTCATCATTTTTTGCTCCTTTTTTAGACTTTTTTGATGTTTTTTTAGCTTCCCTCTTTTTGTCCTCCTCCTCTTCGTCCTTGTTTTCTTCCTCACTGTCACTGAGATGACATCTCACTACAACGACAGAAAACTAATATTACCAATCAGGCCAGATCAAAAGAAACCATCATGAAACAAAAAGGTTCATATGAAGTCATTTTTTTATCATGAGATTTTATACTTGGTTTGGGATGTTGTTTTTTCTTTGGTGTTGGAGGGACGGGGCTCTTTGTCCAGTCTTTTCTTTCATCCTCGCTCTCTGATTCAGGTTTTTTCTCTTCATTAATGTTGATTTCCACAACTGAGATGCTGGAAAATACCCCGAGTTGGAATGTTAACAATGCCAATGTCAGGTTATTTCCTATTTATGGATGAGGCACTGGGCTGTGTGACAGGAAATGGCCTTTAACTTGTATCATGCCTAACAATGGAGACACATCTCCAGTACACTTACAAGACTGTTCCTCTGTCTTCACTTTCTCCTTAGATTCGTTTGTCTTAGCCTTCTTCTTCACTGTTTTTTTCTCTTTCCCCTCATTTTCCTCCATGTCTAATGCAGGTTTGGCCTCAAGTACTAGAATGTGCAATTCAACAAAACGTAAAGGCATATCACGCGAAGGCAGATGCAAAAGTTATCAATGAAAATAGAAAAAACACTTACATTTTGTTTGCCCTTTTTTAACACCCTTCTTCTTAGTTTTCTTTCCATCTGCCTGGCCTTCTGTGTCTAAAGTGCATTTAGCGCTGTGCTGTGGGCTGATCTCTAGATCGATTTTCTTAGTGATGACCGGAACAGATTGAGCAACCTCTTCAGAAGCCTCTTCTGTCCTGGATGAAATGGTCAGCTCTCCTAAACAAATCTCTTCCACCGTGTTTTCATAAATCTGCTCAGGCTGTGTGTCTGACAATAAATAGGCAGGGTGTTATTTTCTGTCAAAATAATGACTAATAAATAACATTACGTGTTAACAATAAAACAAAGTAAGTGATTACAAACCACTGAGGGAAATGTTGCTCTGAGATTGGCTTATCAATAAAGCTGTATCGTCAGACTCAGCTTTCTGTTTGCGTGTCTTGGGACGGATGTCATGATTCGCTGTGATCATCCGGGCATCTGCCCTTCTTCTTTGTTGTTTCTTGATTAAAAGCGAATGCTATGAGAATTAACATGATATGAACTGCTGTTAAACATTAGATATCAGACGACGGGGAAGTCGTGGCCTAATGGTTAGAGAGTCGGACTCGTAACCCAAAGGTTGCGGGTTCGAGTCTCGTACCGGCAGGGATTGTAGGTGGGGGGAGTGAATGTACAGCGCTCTCTCCCACCTTCAGTACCACGACTGATGTGCCCTTGAGCAAGGCACCGAACCCCCAACTGCTCCCCGGGCACCGCAGCAAAAATGGCTGCCCACTGCTCCGGGTGTGTGTTCACGGTGTGTGTGTGTTCACTGCTGTGTGTGTGCACTTTGGATGGGATAAATGCAGAGCACTAATTCCGAGTATGGGTCACCATACTTGGCCACATGTCACTTCACATATATAACTACCCAGTAATGCCATTAGTATAGATACAGATCCTCAAAACCTAATGAAGCAGAACATGTAGAGATTTGCTTTTAAGCATGATCTTAAGCATGACTATAATGTCAAAGGTAAAATAATATTGAAAGAAAACCCTACTGATAAAATATGCAACACAAAAGTATAAGTAAATGTCTAATCAAAAGACATTCACTTACCTGATTGTCCAGCTTCTGTTGTCGGACCTCTGTGTCCTCCATTTCTTGTGTTGGAAAAGAACAAATATCAACATTTTGGCAGTATACAAATAATCCACTATGTTTTTATTGTCATAAACTCACCAGCCAGAATGCACGCACAAATCAGCCATCAAACCGATGTCTCATTGTCCGTCTGTCTCTGCAGCTCCATATGACATCCCCACCTGCATGCAACAGAAGCTAAAGAAGATTACATCGGATAAAGTTCTTACATGCAACACTCCACTGAGACGCCATGTAGAATAGATCCTTCATCATTACTGACATCAGACAGTATTTCACAACTGAAAACAGCACTAG